AGAGAGAAAGCAACCCACCTGGGCCGGGACTCAAACTGCAGTTGACCATGTGGGAGTCCAGCACCCTTAACCACACGCCACCTGCCGGCCCCTCTTGCTGTGTTTTGAATTGTTTGCTTAAATGATGTTGAGCCTCTTTCTTTGTGCTTACTCGCCACCTGCATGTCCTCTTTGGTGACATATTAGGTCGTTGGAAAGTCATGACACATTTTTGCATAGAAAAACACGTCATGATTTTTCCAACAACCCAATATGTGTTCATTTCTTTGATCATTTGCTAGCTGGAGTTTTTGACTGGTGAATTTCGAGAACGCCCTGTATACTCCAGTCTCTGCACGGCTACAGAGCTGCAGAGAGTTCCTCCTTGTAGCTTGTCCTTCTCTCCTCTTGACAGGGCCTTTGTCAGAGTAAAATTTTTTAATTTTGAAGAGGTGAAATTTACACATTTTTCTTGTTATAAAGTGTGCTTTTGACATCAGGTCTCTGAGGGCTTTGCCTTGCCCTAGATCTGGAAGATTCCCTCAAAACCCATATTCATTTAACCAAGTGGAGGCGTTTGACATTATTGGCTTTTGGTTTGACCTCCAAACTTGTCTCCCAAACTCAGGAGGAGACGTTCTAGAAACAGGGGCTAGGAGCTCAAAACCAGGCAGGTTTTCTCAGTGGCCTTTGCTAAGTGTTTTTTTGTTTGTTTGTTTGTTTGTTTAGAGAGAGTTTTGCTATAGGGTGCATGTGCTCACTTGCCGGAGAGCCAGAGAGAGACAGAAAGTGAGAAATCACCCCCAGGGTGGTTGGCCACACTGAAATTCCCTTCTCCTCCATTCTTCTCTCAGGATTTTGGGCACACATGCACATGTGCCTGGTGTGATTTTAAGTCACCAGGTCCAGGACTTGAACTGCAGTTGACTAAGTAGGAGTCCAGTGACATAGCCATGACACTACCTGCTGGTCCTTAGCTAAGTTTCTTCATCCGTGAACCTTAGAGCATCTGAGTCACAGAAGACTGCCCTCGGTGCGTGCCTGTAACTAGCACACAGTGAAGTCGGTCGCGGCCATTTGCTTTTCTAATTGTGACTCTGAGCCTGGTGACACTTGGAAAGGACTGGGTACTATGAAAAAAAAATTCTGTCCAGCAAAAGGAAGAGTACTGGGGCCAGCAGTGGGTGCTTCTCCCAGAGAAGCAGCAGGGATCTTGATGTGTGGCCAGCCCAGAACCATAGAAGAGGGTGACGGTTATTACGTGGGAGCTGCAGGTGCCCAAGGCTTGGGACCAACCCTTTACTGATGAGATGTGGAGAGTGTTGGAGAGGATCAAAGCGTACGAAATGCAAATAACCAAGCTGGATGCTATGACAACGGTGGTCACAGTCCCAGAATCCATCAGCTCATCGGCATAGGTGCTGCTGCAGGAGACCTGCAGGAGAGGGAAGATGTCACACATGTAGTGGTTGATGGTGTTGGAATCACAGAAGGATAATCTGACCATGTTCCCTGTGTGGGCCAGGGCACCTGCAAACCCATCACGTAGCAGCTACCCAGCAGCCGAGCGCAGGCCTGCGGGTACATGGTGGCCGTGTACAGCAGGGGCTTCCAGATGGCCACGTAGTGGTCGTAGGCCATGACTGTCAGCACGTGGCACTCGGAGTGGACAAAAAGGCAGAAAAGAAACAGCTGGGCCATGCATCCCGTGAAGGAGATGAAGTTCTTCTCTGACATGAAGCTCACGAGCATCTTTGGGGTGATGACTGGAGAGTGGCAGAGGTCTATGAAAGACATATTGAAGATGAAAAAGTACATGGGTTTGTGAAGGTGGGAATTCAGCAGATCAGGTTGATTAGGCTCAAATTTCCCACCACGATGACTGCAGAATTCAACAAGAAGAGGAAGAAGAGAAGTAAGTGGAGCTGAGGCTGGCCTGCAAACCTCGCCAGGATGAAGACAGTCACTGAGGAGCCATTCGGTGTGGCCATCTCATGCACAGTGTGCTCACCTTAGACGGCCTAGCGTCCTGAGAGTGCCATCTTGTCCGGCCAAGCTCCAACACTCTGGAACCAGAGCCAGGAAGACCAGAGCCCCCATGTTTCCCTTCCTCCTCTCATTGTCCTTTCCACGTTTCCAAATATTAGCTGTCACTCCTCACTTTCCAGGTGGTGGCCCGTCCAGGATGGAGTCTCAGTGTGGGCATCAAAAGTAATGCCCTTATTCAAGAGACTGGCCACAACCTCTTGACGAGATGCTCAGGTGGGTGGAGGTCAGAGAGCAAGAGAGCAGGGGAGCAGGGGTGGCGGGGTGGCGGGGCTACCGCTGAGTCTGACGCTGTGCCCTTGCTCAGCTGACCTCTTCCTCTGACCTCTCAGACTCTTACTGCCTGGTGTCCTGCACCCCCTCAGCCCCCTCGTCCAGTCCTACCATGAAGCCACGCTGAACTATTCAGTAAAGGCCGTGGCCTTCCCAGCCTCTCCTTTGCCGCAGCGGGGACTGAGCGTTAGGACACAGGAGATTCTGTCGCTAGTTCCCTCGTGCCTGGAGACCTCACGCTACCCGGGGGTAAGTGCCTTTTCTTGCCTCTGCCTGGAAGGAGACGGAAGTTCTGACACGGACGAGGCCATCTCTTGCCTGCGGGACTGCGATGCCAGCACCGAGAACACACTTCTCCATCAGATCTTCTGGCTGTCTACTGTCAGGGCCTGGAGTTGGGTCTGGACCTCGGGGTCTGTTCTGAGCAGCGAGCCCGCCCTTAGGGTTTTATGCAAGGAAGAAATTCCCACACTGTGTCTACATGCTCTGTTGGTAGTTAATACCGCTGCTTCTGGGACTCGGTCCTTCTTCCCACACCGTGTCTACACGCTCTGTCGGGTCGTTAATACTGCTCCTTCTGGGACTCGGGGTTCCTTCCTCAACATCAGTTCACATTAGGGATTTATAGACTCCTGTGCAGGAGTAACACCCATTGTGTCCCTAAGTTATTTTATTTTGATTTATTACTTTACCTGACAGGGTCTCCTCATATTGGACCCCTCCCTCAGCCCGGTAGTTTCTCAGGATCTTAAGTGTGTGCACATACCCAGCATGTTTTCAAGCCATCCCGGGGATCTGAACCTGCCACGACCCAGCCCTGCAGTTCTGAGCCTGTGTTCCTAAGTTATTGAGCTCATGCTCAATTCCCAAAGAGGGATGATCACAAACGGTCCTGCCACTTCGGAGAGGTGCTCACTTATCCCGCAGTTGACAGTATTGTTTCTGTATACAGGAGTGGTAAGGGGAGGGCTGTGGAGTCAGAACAACCAACCCAAACTCCTCTGCCCTCTGTGCGCGTGATGTTGGACGAGGTCCCTAGCCACCTGGAGCCCTTTGGCTTCATCCGTATGAATGTAGTAGTGTCTCCTGCTTCCAAAAGACGCTCTCCATGTCCCTGTCCTCCCCTGGTGCCCTAGTGGGTGCCCACCACACGGTCCTCCCCCCATGTCCCTGTCCTCCCCTGGTGCCCTAGTGGGTGCCCACCACACGGTCCTCCCCCCATGTCCCTGTCCTCCCCTGGTGCCCTAGTGGGTGCCCACCACACGGTCCTCCCCCCATGTCCCTGTCCTCCCCTGGTGCCCTAGTGGGTGCCCACCACACGGTCCTCCCCCCATGTCCCTGTCCTCCCCTGGTGCCCTAGTCGGTGCCCACCACACAGTCCTCCTCCCTGCACTCTCATCTGGTTTGTGTTAAAACCAGAATCTGAGCAATATTTAAATTCCTGCAGAGGCTGAGTAGCCTTGGGTCTGTGGACTGAACACACTCAGCAGTAAAGGAGCGAAGCGCTGCTGCACGAGGCAGCCTGCGTGGCCGGCACGAGCCGGTCTCCAAGGTTGACTCCAGGTCCCCGGGAATCTGCACTCACGTAAAATAAAAAGTGGAAGCAGTAGATGTCCCCTCATAAGCACAAGTTCACACGTAGAGAGGGAGGGAATCTAAAGTCCTACTTTCCTGAAATGCAGCTAGTTAACAGCAATTTTCCTACAGATTGGCATTTAATGCTAGAGACAAAAGTTCTGAGTCAGTAGGACCCCAGGTACTCAGTCTTTCTGAGATGAAGGACTGTTGCTATATCACTGTTCTTAATAAAAATATCCAAAGTCATTTCAAAGCACCTTTAACATTCTTTACGTCTACAGAATACAATCAAATAATAAAATAGTAACTTGTAGATATTAATAACATATAATAAAACATAAAGTATAAGCATAACAAGCATTTCTAACTGACGTGTAAATTCTGACTCCAGGTGGCGTACTGCCTAACTTATAATCGTCAGCCCTCCATGGCCTCCGGTGTCAGCGCCCCGAGGAAGAGAGTGGGCGCCTTTCTCCTGAGCCCTGGAGACTGTGGCGTCCCTGGTGGAGGCTGGCTCCTGCCCCCACGACTCAGCGTTAGACACAGACGCCTCAGTCCCTCCTTGGGGAGCTTGCCCTGGTGGGAAAGGCCCAGGGAGACCCACTCCTGCATGCCTCTCGGGTCCAAGAGGGTTATAAGCTGTAAGCAAAAGCCTCACACTGCATGACCGGTGGCCTGGTGCTCGCTCTCACGGCAGGTGAGCAGCCAGAGTCCGACTGACGGCTCAGCCGTATGTGCACAGTTCACGTGTCATAGGAATACAGTCTGGTAAAATTTAAAACAACGAATATAACCAGCATCCAAAAAAATCCGTTTCTCTTTCATGTCATCCTACCCGTACCTGGGAGGGACACTCGGTTTCTTCATCTTCTGTCCAGGACCGAGCAGACTGAGAGGGTGGGATGGGTACATCTCAGCTACCCAGGGTCTCCTCAGCACGTGTGGGTTCTTGTAGTGAGGCACTTGTGCACCCCGGACTATGAGGGGCTCCCTTCTGGGGAGCCAGTATCGTCAGGGTCTCTTCCCTGAAGGACTAGCTTTCTAACTCACCAGTCATCACAGAGAAGCAGAAGCATCTGCTGAAATACGGAAGCCTGGGTAGGGACTGAAAATGGAGGGCCAGAGTAACGAGACTGGGCTAACCTCCAAGCTCATCAGCAGGGAGAGTCGAACTCGGCTCCCACATCTGTCCTCTGGTAAGCACAGGAGCAGTTGTTTGTGACATTCATGGCAGGCAGATGTCAAGGAGAGGAATGTGGAAGACATTTAGACTCCAGAAAACGAAGGAGAATTTACCTGAAGACTGCCAGTTTGAACGAGTGACAGGTTGTAAGGAGAGAGCTGGGTTTACTAACGACTCCTGTCTCCTTAGGTTTTGAGGATGGGACTGCCAGCTAGAAATGACTCCTTCGTGACTGAGTTTATTCTTGCTGGATTAACAGGCCGCCCAGAGCTCCAGCAAACCCTCTTCTACCTGTTCCTGATCATCTACATCATCACCCTGGTGGGCAACCTTGGCTTGATTGTCCTCATCGGTCTAAATGCTCACCTCCACACCCCCATGTACTATTTCCTTTTCAACCTGTCCTTCATCGACCTCTGTTACTCCTCTGTTTTCACTCCAACAATGCTGATGACCTTTGTGTCAAGGAAGGGTGTCATCTCCTATGCTGGGTGCATGACGCAGCTGTTTTTCTTTCTCTTTTTTGTCATCTCTGAATGCTACGTGCTGACCTCAATGGCCTATGACCGTTATGTGGCCATCTGCAGCCCGTTACTGTATAAGGTCACTATGTCCCCTTGGGTCTGCGCTGTGCTGTCCTCCGCTTCATATGTGATGGGACTTGCTGGAGCCACTGTCCACACAGGGTGCATGCTGAGACTGACCTTCTGCCGTGCCAACACCATCAACCACTACCTGTGTGACATTCTGCCCCTTCTCCAGCTTTCTTGCACCAGCACTTTTGTCAACGAGGTAGTAGTTGTTGTTGTCGTCGGTGTTAATATCACGCTGCCCAGTCTCACCATTCTAATTTCTTACATTTTCATCCTCACTGCTATTCTCCATATACAATCCACACAAGGACGGTCAAAAGCCTTCAGGACGTGTAGCTCTCACATCATTGCCCTTTGTCTTTTCTTTGGGTCGGCAGCATTTATGTATCTTAAATATTCTTCCCCTGGCTCTATGGACCAGGGGAAAGTTTCTTCAGTTTTCTATACGAATGTAGTGCCTATGCTCAATCCCCTGATCTACAGTCTGAGGAATAAGGATGTCAAAGTTGCACTGAGGAGAGTCCTGGTTAAAATTCGGAGAGGAAACCTATTCTAACTAGAGACGGTAAAAATGTAAAGAAATTGAGGGACCTCAATTTTTAACATTTTTTATGAAAACATTTTGTTTATAACCACATGGCTTACAGATAGTGCTACAGGGGTGTGGACTTCCCTTACAGCCAGCCTCACCTCTTTTTGTCTCTGCGCCCCTGCCTGTCCACAGGTCTGTGAAATGGCTAGTCGCACGTCTGTGAAAGGAGCCTGTGCCAGCTCTGTCACCATTGTTTTATGCCCCATTGCCTCCTGGGCTACTCCTAATCTGGACAGATATGGTACATTTCGAGAATTATGAAAAGTTAAAGTTGTCCTTGCTTACATAAACACAAACATGCCGAATGCAATGGAAACGGTCTCTTTTTTTTTTTTTTTTTAATCATTATCGTTAGTGGGTTAGGCCGCAGATCTTGGTGCAGGATCATTATAAGCGTTTAGAGCTTGAGGTAGAGTCCGACCCACTTGGCCTCGTGGTGCCTTTTCTCTTCACCTTTCCCTTTACTGCTCCGGCATCTTGTTCCCTTTGAGAATGGCAAATCTGCCTCATGGGACACAAGATTCTGAGAACCTCTGTTGGCCCAGGGCATTCAATAATTAAATACCAACTTAATATGTGCACCTCCACCTTTAATTGTCAAAGACAACATTCACAGAGGATGATTAAAGTACCAATGCACACGCATCTTTGTACTGAAGCGGGGAGAGTGGTGACAGGGTACGCTTGAGTTCATTGCTAGCGAAAATGACATCGGATATTTTTGAAAAGAGCACGAGGGCATGTAGTTCTTATGGTAAGTAGTTTTGTGTTTGTTTGTTTGCTTGTTTATAGAAAAGTTTTGCCTATTTAGTAGAAATATTTTATTTAATGTTTTACTTATCCAGTGAGATTTATCATAAAAATAAGAGTACACCAGCAATAATAAGGTAGTTTTCTACAAATATTTTGCGAGCTTACTTAAATTTAATCTCACCAATTAGGCATACTTATTTATTTAGTTAAGATTCTATTTTTTTAGTTTTGATGCCATGCTTACATGTATTTGATGTATATCTGTGTGGGGTACAGTATGGTTTTTCAAAGCATGCATTTAGTGTCTAATAATCAAATTAAGAATATGTATGTCTTCATCGTCTTCAGCACTGAACATCACATAGCCTCCTCCTCATGTCTCCAGTAAAAATGCTCTCATAGACCCGTTGCCCACTCCCCTGCCGCCCTGGTATTTCCTTGACTCTGTTTATACAATTTCAAGTCCTTCTTTTCCACCATGGAGTGCAGACTTTTGGTATATGTCAAGTGGGGAGATAGTATTTGCTTTTCGTAGTCTGCTTTATTTCTCTTAGCATGGTATCTTCTAGGTTTGTCCACTCTATGTCAAATGGCAGGATTTTGTTGTTCTTTAGGGCTTGTATGTATGTACCATGTTTTCTCAATCCACTCATCGGTTTGGGGGCACTTAGCCTGATTCCATGACTGTGTTGCTATGAATAGTGTTGCAATAAATGTGGGCATGCAAGTGTCTCTTGGGGGGATTTCTTGGCCTTTGGGAACCCCACCTTATAGCGGGATTGCTGCCTCATATGGTAGTTATATTTTTATTTTTTCTTTCTATAAACCGTTGTGTTGAGAGCTGACTTTTTCCTTTTTTCTTTTAATTTCCCCCACCAGAGAATATGTGCACTAGAGAGAGACAGAGAGGCAGAGAGAGACAGCCCCAGTGAGGTGTGGTCACGCTGCAGTCCTGTTTCCTCCATTTCTCCGTTCTGTCAGGATTCAGGATGTGCATGCTCACAAGCCCCCAAGTGCCAGGGTTCAAACCACTGCTGGCCCTGTGGGACCCAGGGCCCAGTGCACAGGAGTTAGCCACTGTGCCACAGGCCAATCAGAGGCTGGAAGAATATCTGCTGAGCACTCATGACTGAGTACCCATGACTGAGCACCCATGACTGAACACAGTGAGAGTGAAGCTGAGTACCCATGACTGAGCACCCATGACTGAATACCCGTGATTGAGAACCCCCGACTGAGTACCCATGACAGAGCAATCATGACTGAATACTCATGAATGAGCACCCACGACTGAGTACCCATGACTAAGCATACCGAGAGTGAAGCTGAGTACCCATGACTGAGCACATACGACTAAGTACCCATGACTGGACACCCATGACTGACATGCATGACTGAGCACTCATGACTGAGTACCCATGACTGAGCAACCATGACTGAACACACTGAGAGTGAAGCTGAGTACCTATGACTGAGCATACCAAGAGTGAAGCTGAGAGGCCATAACTGAATACCCATGACTGAGTACCCACGACTGAGCACCTACGACTGAGCACCCATGACCGAGTACTCACGACCGAGTACCCACGAATGAGCACCCATGACTGAGTACCCATGACTGAATACCCATGACTGAGCACCCATGACTGAGCATACTGAGAGTGAAGCAGAGTACCCAGGACTGAGCTCCCATGACTGAGTACCCATGACTGAGAACCCCTGACTGAGTACCCATGACTGAGCACTCATGACTGAGCACCCATAACTAAACATACTGAGACAAGGTTTTCAAAAAACTGGGGAAGAAGTCAGAGAAAATATGTGGAATAATAGCAAAAGCAAAAAAGGAGTCATGGAAATGAAATTATTGGTAGTATACAATGGATTAGCTGTAAATAATGTTTTAAAATACTCTTAATACTGTCAAACAGGAGTGCTGCCATAATGAGGGCTGTGACTTTTACCCTAATTGAAGGGATGGGGTAGGGGCAGGAAGAGAAGGGCGTGTGTCCCCAGGGATGGTCGTGGGCATGAAAACATCCAAATCCTCATCTGCCATCTGCCACAGGAGTCCGAGTCAGAAGGTGGGTGGGGGTCGGGCTGAGCACCCCGGTGTGTGCGAAGGTGGGTGTGTGCCCGGCTGAGCACCCCGGTGTTTACAAAGGTGGGTGTGTGCCCGGCTGAGCACCCCAGTGTGTGAGAAGGTGGGTGTGTGCCCAGTTGAGCACCCCGGTGTGTACAAAGGTGGGTGTGGGCCCAGTTGAGCACCC